ACTGGAATTTCAAACCTTTAATAGCTTAAAAAGATGCCTAATGAATGTCTATTTTCTTTGAACTCAAGCTCTCTTCCTGCTTTGTCTTAGAGACTGGTCTATGCTCTTCAGATTCCTAACATGCAACTTTTCTCATGACACAGCATAAATCTTACTAAGTGAATTATTGGTGAAGTTGTGTCAAACAAGTTAAAATGGCAACTTTTTTTTTTTAATATAGGAACAGAAAATCATTACATCCTCCTGCAAGTTTCAGCAGTCAAAGCAGATACAAAGGACTCTGAGTATTTGGGGAAGGATGGCATTGAAGTTAGTAGCATGACAAGCTGCTGAGATTGGAACTGGTAAGTCTGCAATATAAGAAATAGGAAGAGGAAATATTTAGAATCAAGAGATGCCAAAACTGCAATCAGCAAATGGAAGTCTAAAACTGATGAGCAAATCTGGATGCTTTTTTATTCTTTATTTTTATTGTTTAAGCTGTGCCATATAACCGCCTTGTTACGAGAAACAATCAATAACAGCTCCTAACCCCCTCACTGCAGTGGCATGTACCCACCTCCAGCCCCATCCCTTGCAACATGAACCCAGTTAGAGACATGTTCAATGCTGCTGAGCAAAAAAGGTGCTGTCCTGCCTCTGGGTGGTCAGTCACTGCAGATATGAACTCCCAGGACAAACTGAATGCTTAAAGCCAGTGGGGATTTGTGATATTGAATACATGACACAGATTAGAATTTTAGGCTTTGTGGGGAAATAGAAATACAGCCGCCAAGACTGTCTCAAAAACTGTAAGGACTAGAAATGCTCACAGAGACAGTCATGTACATGAGAACAAAGCTAGCAAACAAAGATGTGAGACAGCCTGTGAAGGTGAACCTCCCTAGATCACTGAACCCACTGCTGAGACTGCAGCATAGCACCACAACAGTGGTACTACAGAGGCACACAGTGAGAGAAAGGGTCAGAAGGATAAGCACACATAGGCAGTAAGCTGCAGGTGGCAGGTAGGGAGAGCAGGTAGACAGCATTGCCAAACTTACACATCAGCAAAAGCCACCAAAAGCTGCCAGTAAAGCAGAAAGAGAACAGGTGAACATAAAAGAAATGAAGCAGCCAGGACACAGATACCTGTCCAAAGAACTCAAAGACTGTGGGAGGCGTTGATGGCATAAAACATTTTTAAGAAAGCAAAAGAATTGCTTCATAAATTACTCTCTGTTCTGGAGGAAGAGTGAACAGACTTGAAGGACAGGTGATGTCTCTGAAATATGCAAATAGAGCTGAGCTGGTCCAAGCAATTACCTTTCCATTGCCTGGAACTTCAGACTCAAAGGAATGACTCACAAGAAAGAACAAGAAACAAAAGAATGTGCTAAAAGGTAGAAAATGACAAAGGAAGACTGCATCAAGAGGAGATTGGAGACAAGCTTGGGAAAGTATAGTCCTGACCTCCTACTAACACCTGTACTAGGGAAAAGGAACAAAACAACCTGTGACACAAAATCCAGTGAGACCAAGCCAACGCAGGAAGACCTAACTGCAAAGCATCCACAAAGGCCAAGGTGATCATCGGTTCTAGACTGCTGGGTTTAAAATAAAGTAGAGCAAGAAGATTCCTGTAGCTTCATGATTGTAAAGACAATGGACCTCACCTCAATATCCCTTAGGTTATGTGCTATTTTAAATATTTCCTAGCAAACAACATTAAAAAAAAAGTGCTATGACAATTTCTTTCCAGGTTTTAGACAAAGCCCTGAAATAAAAGATTAGGCATAACTATCAGAGAACCTGCTAGCAGCAAGGTTAGAGAAGTAAGACAGACTGGAAATAGCCATGGAGATGAGACAACATACATGCCTCTACTGTCAAAAGTGGTATATCAGCTTCACAGAGCACTGAACACCTGTGCCTTTGGCCTCTACGCATTCAGTTGTCTCTTAAGAAAGTGTAGGTACTCTAGACTTCATACAGGAGTAGGAAGCAGTAGGTCAGATTTTGGCTGCTACTGGTGCTCCACTGCCTCTGAACACAAATTCAGGGTGCTCCTACTGCATCAGAATGCTTTTACTTTGTTTTTTTTTTTCCATCCAAACCAAGCAAAGATTACTAAATTATAGCAGTCACAGTCTGATGCTGAAAATGTACTAATACAGAAACTGCAAGGTCAATATGAAAGAATGAATCAATGAAGAATCAAGAAAAAGGAATGAGGAAGTAGATCTGTTTGGACTGCATAAGAAATACTGCATTTAGTTCCATTCTATTTATTAAGAAATATAGTGACAGCCTGAAAGCTGTGGAACAGCAGCATACTTGCTGGGAAAAAAAATGAACCTATGAAAAGGATAAGGTGTTTCCAAGTTTTAATTTTTGCATATTTAGTACTAAAGGATCAAGACGTGTTTGATGACATGTGTTTGATGTTGTTTGAGAACAACACAGGAACAACTTCAAGGGATGGGATGAACTGCTGAAGAGAAAATATGTAGATAATATTGAGAAAACTTTACAATACCAAAATTCATACAGCTGCACAATGAGGAATTAAACATCCTTATACTGTAATTACTATTTAAGATTCATAATGCTCTGCAAGCTGAACTTTTCAAATTTGTACCAAACACTTTATATTGTTTTTAACCAAATACTAGGAGTATTTCATTCATGATCTACTGAACATAAGAAAACTCAATGGAACCCAGCAGATGAGTATGTAAAGGTGACACAATGACAGTGATGAAGCACCTTATAATGTACCCACAGATCTTTTCTATAAATCTAATTTGAAATTTGAATACTAAAATAGCTATTTTATCTCCATCTCCTGACACATGCATCTCCATCATTTTAAAGAACAGAGCTCCCTCTCGTGGCTCCAGAAAGTGAATGGGGGAGGTGTGGTGGAGTACAGAGAAGACTTCTGATAACATTTTCGTCACATCAAAGTGGATTTAAAAGGACACTGTAGTAGCAAAGACAGGTCACTTAAATATACATTTTAATGCTAATTTCTAAATTACATTCTCTGCTAATGTAACTTTATCTGCTAGGTCTTTCTGCACCTGAGCACATCCCTTCAACGGCAGGCACTCAGATCTCTTTACAGGTTTCTAGCTCAGTCACAGATAGGGCACAGGAAGAAGAGGACAAGAAACATGGCACATGTGCAGCGGTGCAGGGACAGTAAGTCAGGTAACACTACAGATTTTTCCCCAGCGTTATAGCTCTGTGCACTGAGACCACACAGGAGAAAAAAAACAAAAAAGGCTTCAAAAAGCCAGGAAATGCATGTATAGCTACATGTGCAAGAAGCACATCTACTGAAACACTGTAACAAAGCATCTGAAAAAAGAAATTTAAAAAAAAATCATATTTCTTTAAGCCCCTCAAACTCAGCTCTGCCATCTTCACAGAAACTTCTTTTCAAGCTCCAGCACTGCTCTCCTGCAAGCCCACGCTTCTTGCATCAACTATGCAAAAAGAGAGGATAGAGCAACACAGGAATGAGGAAACACACTGGTGCAACAACACTACCCAGCAGTCTAGTTTCTGCTGAGTCCTGAGGACAAGGTTATGCAAGGACAACAATGGGAAGAAACATGCTCATCAGGATTCATTCCTCACCTTCAGGGAAGAAGGGAGGAGCAGCATGGCAAAGCATTCTGTTTGTTTGTTTGGTTTTTTAAACTAACAGGTTATCTCCCTTTCTTAGCTGACAATTTTGTAACCTAAAGGTCACACCTGTGGCAGTATTCTCTGAGGCAAGAAAGTGAAGGGAGTACCTAAAGCTATGCGTGTTGCCATGCATGAGAAGTCCTGTAACAGCAGCTCTCCCTATAAACATTCAGGAAAGTGTTGGTGTTTTGGTGGTGGGTTGTTAGGGTTTTTTTTTTCCACTGTTTAATGAATGTTCCTATGTTTCCCTTTACACTGCTAGACACTTTTTTTGGATTCTTTTAAAATTTTTTCTGTATGAGAATTGTAGATTGGACAAGAATTTACACAGCATACAGCCTGCTTTGCTAACTGCCCTGCACAACATATAAAACTATTTTCCCCAAGGGGAGAAAAAAGGGTTGCCTCTGAGTTACAGGACTTCTTTTGCTGCAAACCCAGCATTAACACCATGAAACAAGAACTAGTAAAGAAAAAACAATTACTCTAAAGTCTCTGGAACAGCATCAGAAGACAACTGAGAATCAAATTCTTGATTCAGTGGCTTGTGCTCACAAAAGATTTTGCTTCCAAAGCCCAGGACCAAAAAAGAATCAATGAAAAGAACCAAAGAAAAGAAATTACCATGCCTTCAGCATTTTGCTATTAGTAAGATATCTCCACTCTATCTCCAGTCAAAGGCAATACTCCCTCTAAAGAGCAACCCTCTTTAAAAACTGTATAAAATTCAGTCTATAAGCAGGGGGATATCTTTAAATATTCAATCAAGTAACAAACTTGGTAGATTAAAGATTAATTAAAATTACAGTAAAGTCTCCCTATAACACACCCATATAGGACTTACAAATACACTTGTTATTCTGAAGTACCTAATCATAATCAAATTTGGTAATTTGCTGCACTGAAACAAAAAGGAAACATTTTTAGAATTGATCATTCAGTTCATGTCACTTTCATGGAGATTACTTGGTATTGATCAACATTTAAATAGTAGTTGAAAAGAGAAAGATGAGAAAAGCATAAAAAGTACCTTTACATGCTAAATACAGCATGAACCAATAAAAGCAAAATTAATTAGATCACTATAGCAAAACCAACCCTGTGCATGCGCTCGCTGTAATGAAGATAATTGTGAATGAATTGTATGGTTCTTCATGTCTTGGTCATAACAAAAGAAGAGTTTTAAAAAATTAATTTAGACTTAAATCTGTTCAAAATGAAGCTTGCCATGCTGCAATTAAAATCTTTCTGAAGCTGGACCCTTGTCAGCTTCACAAAGACAAACACTAGTTTATTCTCAGAACAGTATTTGTGGTTCCTACCTGTGGATTCCAGCTGGGGTCCAGTTTTTTCACTGTAGCAACATACTCCTGCATAGCTTGATGAGGGCTGGTATCTCCCAGGGCTTTCCAAGCCTCCCTAAGACAGAGAGCAAAAACATCAGCAAGCCACTTGGAGACAACATAATGTGTTTTTATACCAGTGGAACACAGTGAACAGACTCATCTAAATACTTCCAGAGAGTGTAAAGCCATCTTTCATTCAGTTTGAAAGGGCCAGCTTTTCTCCAAAGCCATGAATGGCCACTGTCAGTTACAGCACACCATTGTGAAGGAATCTTTCAAGAGATCCTGGTCCAGGGCTGGAGCATAGGTTGTGCTCACAAAGTAAAGCTGTTTGTAAAGCTGTAGCTATTTTCATAAATTTTTTGTTGTAAGCAGATTAATTTTGGATGAGCAAGGTGAACTCGGGAGCCTGGATTTCACGTCTGCATCAGGCACAGCAGCAAGCATTTCCCTATTAAACAGACTCTGAGTTGACATCCTCTAGGTCCATAGTCTGTCAACAGATGAAGCAGGACACAACAAAAAGTAAAGCCAGAAATTGCTAGGAATTACAATAATTATTTCCTCTTACCATTTCTGCTTTCCCTCAAAATCAAAGAAGCTTGGCTTGGGAGTGTTACAGGTTCCAAATTTTACCTAAAGAAAAGAAATTTCCTTCTGTTAGAACAAAGCAAAGGGAAAGCAACTTGCATAAGGGAAGACTGAGTTCTGACGTTCCAGGGTAAATTCAGAGGAAAGGTTTGTGAGGGAAAGAACTGACACAACTCAACCCCATTTTACTCTCATTTTAGCTCTCAGTTATTAGCACCTCTGCATTCCTGTGTTTTCTTTGTGCGATGCAAGGAAAGCAATTTTGTTATGCAGTTCATTTCTTTTGCATGCATTACCCAACAGGGATAAACAGCAAGTGATTTCTCAGTTAATGTTATGTTTATTACCGAGCCAAATGTTTCATCCTCCACCAATATAAAAGAAATTTTCTATTGATTAGAGTTTCTACAGAGATGATTCTTCATTAAGGCTGAAATTCATCTACTTCCGCACAAAACTCAAGTAAACAGTCTTTGCTTAATTATTTTCAAAGTCCTCTGGAAGGCAAAGGGACAATCTCAGAGCACAGGAAAGCCAAGCAGCTTCTGAATTTGCTCTGAGGCACCCGGCTGCAAAAGAAGCACTGCATAAGAGACAAGTCAAGGCTCAACTGTCTGAGATGGATCAGTCTGTGAGAAGCAAGACAGAAATTAAGATGTGGGGGGAGAAATAAGAAACACAAGGAAGCAAAGGAATAAGCTAGAACTGGCAGACTGATGTATGTGGGGAGGGGGTGGGTGGGGGGTGGTGGTGGAATAATCTTACATCCAATGTAAAATGGGCTTGGTACCAGTGAGATTCAGACAGTTTTCTATGGGCTAATGTATTGACGGAACAAATACAAAGCCTTTCCTCTAGCTGCCCTATCTCCTCTGTAAGTTCACCCACAAAGACTGACAAAAGCTACACCTGCCCAGGGCTTCAAAGGCACAACCATGTTCCTGCAACGAGGCCAGCACTGACAATTGCCTCCATAACAGAGCAATTAGCAGGCTGAGATTTGGGCAACAGATATGTTTTTTGAAGTTTGCTCAGGAGAATGTAAAAGTGAACATGCCTCTGTCCCTGCCTGGAAGAGCCAGGGAATATATGGGTCAGGACCCACCAGATCTGAATGTTATTAAGAGTCCCTTTCTCACAAAAAATAAAACCCCTTGCACACAGGTGTAAAATGAATCTAACCAAAATTAAAAATACCATTATGATAGGAAATTAATTTACACAAAACATGGTTTGTTTGGGGTTTATTATTTTGTTTTGCTGTGGGTGTTTGGTTGGGTTTTTTTGGTTTTTTTTGTTTGGTTGGTTTTAAATTAAAGTGCTATATATCCCACAGGGGTGACAGATGAGAGACTGTAGATGCCAGAGCAGAACCACAACTCCAAGTACAACAGCCCCTAGGAAGCAGTCATCATAGCCAGTCCCCATAACACAGGGCACAGCCCAGTGCGAAGAAAGCCCAGAATAGATGGGCTAATACTCAAACAGACACCAGGGGGAACACAGAAATGTTCTGGAAGTGGGCAAAGGCTGACAGTTGAACATTTTGTTAACCAAGCAAAACTAAACTGCATTCGTCAAACGTTTTATGAAATACGCTCAAGTATTCAGGCAGGTGAAGTGCTTAAATCAACTAACAATTCTTCACCTTAACAAGGTGGGGATTTTATGCTGAGGGTAGAATCATTAATCAGGCTTTAAAGAGAGCATGCCCATGCTGAGAGATATTTATTAGTCACACTATGTTTTCATTTAAAATGTTAGAGGATATGAGTGACTGTAACTGAAATTAACTTTCTGTACATCTGACTGTCTCCCCGTGAGCAATTCATTCCAATTAGACCAGCTTAGCTGGCCTTTAATACAACATATCCCATTTCATGGAGAAATAGGAGAAAGAGCCAGTAACAGTTAAGTCCTATAAATCAGTCACAATTCATGTAGCATAAATGTTTTCTCCCATGCTCAGAAGAGGATTGGACCACTTGTTTTAAAAAGCAAAACAAGCCTAGAAAAAAAATACAAATTCATTATCTGTATGGAAAATGCCAGCTTGGCAGTTTTTTAGTTCAATATCCAACCTGCAAAAAATTGGCCAACTTGGATAAGAAAAATTAAGTCTGGTTTAATATTAATTTTCACCTGCCATCATCAAAATATGACAGCAGTTTCTTCTCTTTAGATTTGGCATTCAAAGGCTGTTCTAGCACTGGAGAAGGCTGTTAGTAACATTGATAGTAATACAAATCAAGGAACAGTAGTTAAACTTCATCCATCAAGAAGGGAGAAATATGCACTTGTGCCCTGTTTGCTATTTTAAGATATAATAAAAAGGCTTGCAGTGGTTTTGTTGGAAGGAATAAAGTAAAGGTTTTGGCTTCCCTCCTTTTTGCCTCAAGACTCCATAATGCATCAGAAACCAAGCAGTAATCTAGCATTAGAGGGGATCTGAGTCCAACAGCTGAGAAAGGGCAGTTTTAGCTAAATATGCCAATGCTGACAAATACCAGGCGTAAAATTCTGTGAAGGACTCTGTCCTCCTGTTACTTCCCTGGAGGGCCTCATAATCTGTTTTTCTGCATAACCAGCAGAAAGACAAGAGCCCATATTAGTATTTCAAGTCAACAGTTTCTCATTCAGTGTCCACAATTAATTACTGATGGTCTCCAGGGGCCTGACTGGTTACTTGATGCTTAACTCTCCTCATTTACAGTTCATCAGATGCATTAGAAAAAGATGACAGGCAGAACACATTAAATATTTTCCTAGTATTGCTTCTGCATGCAGAGCCACATTATACTCATGAATTGTACAAAGATGACCCAGACACCTCCAAATGGGAAACGTCTGCAGACATCTCCATTTGTGACCAAAATGGAAATTTAGAAACCTTCACCTGAAGGTCACAACACTCAGAAGAGTGCTTGGATAGACATATGCTCAGAGGTGCATTAGGACTGCATACCATACAACTTCAGCTGCTGGTCCAGACTGTGAGAAACCTCAAGACTCCTTACACAAATCCTTACACAGTACTCCAAAACTGATCTCCTCCCCCACCCCTGGTGGTGCTGGGAAAATGGCTCATTGCTAGTTTTTCAACTAATACATTTATACAGCACAGAGTACCAGCCAAATAGTCTTACCTGATTATATAGCTTATAAGGTGAACTCACATCCATGGACAGCAGGACTAAGCTCTCTAACTACACAGCCCAAGTAAGTTCAATTTCTTTGGCAAGACAGGAAGTCCTGACTGTTCCTGCCCAAAGCTCTGCCCCTTTAACCTGCCCCAACCTGTGGGAAAGCCCTGTACTCAACTGATTAAAAGTGGGGCATAAGGAAGAACAAGCAAACATCAAACACAGAAGGCAAGGGGTCCCAGCTCTGATGACCAAGGGGCTTTATGTCCCAGAGACATAACAACTGAGTCAACTCCATCACTGTTCCAAGCAAGAGGAAGCTGCAGGGAGAAACTCCCACATTCAGGGCAGACATAATGCAAAAATAGGATTACATTCTTGAGACACTACACTCAGACAGTGTAAGTCCCACTTTGTCAGTATTACTGAGTTTCCAGCTTGCCTGCACCTCTCAGCATTTACATATGCACTGGTACATCCTCATCCCAGCAGGGCAGTTTTGTCAGTCTCATCATTTCCAGCAAGTTCTGGATTCTCTCCCCTCTCTGAATGACTACAGTTCCTGAACCTTAGTCCTCAACACACCAAGCAAGCGCTATCTTCACTTCACCACTACAGACTCAAGGTACAGACAAGTGATTTACCCAAAGCCATAGAGAAAGTAGGGGGAAAGAAAGAAAATCAGCCCTAGTCCAGAGCTCTACCGACTAGTCTGTTCTTCCTGTTCTGGGGCAGAGTCGTAAACTCAGCAACATCTTCTAAAAACCTCACTGGAGATGACAACTAAGCAATTCCCTTATTTTCAAGTCTCTGACACATAAACAAAATCAGAGAGAAAAGTAATAAAACCCTGAAATGGCCTCCAATAAAAGGTAATAAAATTCCAGGAAAATGCCTATATACACAAACAGTTTGAAATAAATAACATACAGTATTTTAACAGAGAGCTCAGCTGTTACTGTCACCTCTTTTATGATGGTGCTGTATCTTAAATCAAAGCCCTTAGTGACATAAAGCACTAAATGGAGGAAAGACAAGGGTGCCAAATCAAGGACAGTGGACAGATCTGAGTCAGCACCTTTTGTGCACTAGCAATACTACTGTCCACCCAAGTAATATATTAGCAGCCCATTATGCATACTGATATGGGCTGCTATAATTAAATAGAGGAAACTTGCATTAAGCACCCTCATTTTGATTTAAAGCACAAAATGCTGCAAAACTCAAAGTTGCAGAGCATAATCCTGTAGTAGCTGTGCTAGCAAACTTCTCCCATCTCCACTGCCCACTGCCAGCACTATCCTTCGAGGTACTCTGTAACAGGGATGGTACCTTTCTGGATCTCACTGGGCAGCCAAAGGCATGGAAAACCAGGAGTCAAGCACAGCCTGAAATCAGGGAGCACAAAGGCACTTGCTGTTGCATCCTGCTTGACCAGGGACAAGAGGGACAGAGCAGGACAGAAGCACATTGTTCTACTCAGCTGAAGGCAACTGGAGATCAGAGCTGACAGTGTTAATTATCAGCTTTTTTCTGACTTGTACCAAAACTGTTGTGAAATGGCTTCTAATTTAAGTAATTTTTAAGATTAAACACGTTATTGGTCTTACACTGCTAACACCAAGAAACCCTCTAGAGTCTGTTGAGAATCACAGAGCTGATGTGCAAGCAATGCTTTCCCATTTCCATCCAAGACAGTTATTAAGCATTTGCAACAGAGTGAAAAATAAGAGGTTGTTTGTAACAAATCTTCTGAGAATGTGGACAAAAATTACAGAAATTAAAAACACTTTCTTTTCATCTCATCCTAGGCATGACCTTGTTATTCTTAAAAGTTCTTCTAGTGTTTTTTTCTGCTCTCCTTTTTCTTAAAAGGGAAAGAGAAACCTGCAGATATGTTCAAGCTCTAGAAATATCTGAACAGAAAACATCATAACCAGTCTACAATTAATGGTCCACAAACCACCACCTAGAAGCCACCAGCTTAGAGGGTAACTAAACATTACATTAAAAAAATTAAAGAACTTACAAGTGGCAGTAGTAGGACAAATGTATTCCATATGGGAGGAGAATCACAGGGAAAATACACACACCAAACTCTGACTATTAATCCAAATAGGTGGGATTCAGTTTTCAAGTCAGGGCAGCATCTCTTGCAACACATGAACTTTATTTTTACTTTTACTCTTTAGTCTTCCACATGTAAAAATTCCTCCAGGTTAGGTGATTATAAACGTCCTTTGTATCTTATTTGGTGCTTTTTTGTACTTCTCCCACAGGAGCAGAAAAAGGTTACACTGTATTCCCACAGGATGCATTCTACAGCTTGACCAATTCGTAAGGATTGAATGGGAAAAGGAACACTAGAACTAGAGCCAAGCAGTTTAGTTTCCCAGGGCACTCTAAAGCCCTCCACAGACAGATCTGCAAAGGCACTTCCTTCATGAGGTCACATCATAACCCTAAAGATTTAATGCTTGGACCTGGGTCATTACAGCAGATCCCCAGTGCCTCTAGAGGGGAGGTGAGCACCAGCGCTAGCCATGCACCATAAACCATTTGATCACCATTCTCTAACCTGTGTCAGTTGCTTCACCACCCAACACACAGAGAGAACCTGGCAAACACAAGCGAGGCAGCTACTCCACAAAGACTCAGTAGACACTCGGACAAGCCATCAACCCATTGATGACCTATCACAGCCAACAACAAAAGCCAATCCTCCACACCAACACCCAACTTCAGTCTACCACGCAGTCCAGTGGAGCCAAGCTGATGTCCCCACAGGCAGCAATGCAGCGTTAGAGCTGACCACACCGAGCAAGGGGGAGAACTGATGAACAACTAGCGTGACGAATTTAGCGGGGCCCTGTCCCACCAGACTTCACCTGCCTTCACCACAGGCAAACCCAGTGGCACCAAACTCGGTGCTAGACAGTAAGCTCCCCGTAGTCCTGGTTCCCACACCCCCAGCACAACATTTTTCCACTTGGCATCGCCACATTTTGCTCAGCAGCCACGCAGGCCCTTGGCCGGTGGCCCCAGGAGAGCCCCAGGCCCTCGGATACCCGAACACCGGGCCGGTCCCCGTCCTGCTCCTTCGCCCAGGCCCCACGCCCCGCCCGCCGCCAGGCACTGCCCGCGAGGTGCCCGAGCTCAGGCGGTGGGCTGGGCACCCCCGCTCCCGCCTCACCTGCTTGAAGCGGGCGTACAGGTAAAGCAGCTGCTCCTTGCTGGCGGTGGGCAGCAGCGCCGGCAGCCGCTCGGCCGCCTGCTCGAAGACCGCAGCCAAGTCGCGGTCGAGCGGCACCGTCCCTGTTTCCTCGGATCCCGAGCTCGCCTCAACGCCGCTACCGACCGCCGCCGCCGCCAGCGGGGGCGACGCCATGGCGGCCCGCCGCCCGCCCAGGTCCGCCCGCCTCGCCGGTCCCCCTCACGCCTCGGTACGAGCGACCGTGTGGCCCACGGGAAACGCGCATCGCGCCCGAGGGTTCCGGGGCTGCCATGGGCCCGAGAGCAGCGTGTGGTCGAACAGGAGACATATCCTCTAAGCCAGACTTTATAACCCTCGCCCGCGGAGCTGCTGATGGCGATTAAACAGAAACACCTGAGGACGGGGCTGCCCGCACCCTCAATCTTGTATAACCTTTATAACATGAGCCCCCCACCCCGAGCACTTCGCGCCCCCAAACCCCACCCGCGCTTGACTGGGACTGCGTCCCCCAGGGTCATGTGACGGGGCCAGAGCTCCCCCGGCAGCAGGGCTGGGGGGGACCTGCCGCGTCCCCGCTGCCGCTGGAGGGCACTCGCAGGCCACCGGCGCAGCGTAGCTCCCGGCTCTCGCTGGCGGCCTGGGCTCTTCGGCAGGTGCCGGATGGCAGCCAGCATCCTCCTGGGAGGTGGGTGCAGAGTGCCGCCCCGAGAGTCCCGACCAAGCGCCAGCCCAAAGGCGGGTTATATTTAGCCCGGTATCTACTTGGCGTGGAAAGTTTCCCCCTCCCTGGCACAGCTGTCGAGTCCATCTCCCTCCTCCACCCCTCGGCCTCAGCAAATGGCAGCCCTGAGTCCCCCGTGGAAACCTGGGCAATCACGGCAGCGTCTCGGCCCACTCCTCCTCCGGCCACCAGCTGCCTCGGCCGGGACCGCTGCTCCCCCAGCCAGCTGTGTCTTGTGGGGGGCTGCCCCACAGCGTGACCCCATATTAAGGGGGGCACACTGAGGTGAAGAGGGGCAAGCAGTGCACCGGGGTTCTACACTGTGACTTTAGAGGTACTGTCTCACCCTAAAGCACAGGGTGTTGGGTTCATTCTCCTTCCCCCAGCCATGAGGATGAGGATGAAGACACATCTTGTACATGACAAGGTCCATCTGCATAGCTCCTTGTGGTCTCCTGGCCATGTCCCAGACACTATAGACTCATTCGCGCAACTGTCATCTTTCTACCCTGGATCTTGCAAGGGAGAATGCAGGAGCTGTGGAAAAAAGACCTGCCATCAGAGCCAGAAATAAGGTGGTTTTTTTTCTCTTACTCCCTTCACAGCCTCACTGGGTGTGGGAGGTTTTACTTAGGGAGCAAAAAACCCCGACACAGCCAGGGCAGCAAGCTGAAACATCACTGAAGCACCTGGTTGTGGCCTTGCAGGGCCACCACCACTCTCCCACCAGGCTACCAAGCCATGGCAATGTCCTCATTCCCGGGCTGTTCATACAAGAAGGAGGTGAGGGTCCAACCATGGGAGCACAGCTACACTATAGCCCTGCAGGGAGCACAGGGACCCCTGCATCCCAGACCATGTGAGAGGGCAGTGGGGCTCCAGTCTCTGCTCAGTTCCAGAGCAAGATGAAGTCGGCTGTCTCGGTGCCAGGAGTATGCCTGCAAGTGCCAGCTCTTCCCAGGGCTACCTTCTGAGGGGACTAAGGTGTCCTGAGAATGGGCTGAACCAGGAAGGGGGGGAAGGCAGAAAGAGCTTGGCTCTGCTGCTAATAAATACAAAATAATAGTAGCTCCTCTCCAATGTGTGATTATCCCCCAGCCTCATAAACAGACTGCAATATTTACAATGAACTTGTCCTCCCTGCCGCTCTCCACCAGAAGCCATTCAGCTCCATCCAGCTGGCTGGTTCACCCTGGATAGCCCTGCTCGCCATGGAGAAGCATTGCCTGGTCTGAGCCTGCCGGCATTCAGCTACGGACAGACAGCCGGGTAGGCTGGCAGGGTGAAACCCCCTTTGAATAGCTTGGAAAAAGTACTTGCAGCAGATTAAGTGAAGCTCACAGCCTCCGCATGCTCTCTGGCTCGTCTCCATGGTGAGAGAGGCCTCCCTACCTTGCTGGGTTCCTTTGCTAGAGCACTTACAGCTCTTACTGGGTCTCTCTCACTTCTTCTTTGCCTTTTTTTTTAAAGAGCAACTGCACCGAGGGCACGATCCTTCCTTCCACCTCCTCTCTTTGGCATGAGTGGGAGCAGGTTTGATGCAAGACACCCATGGAGGTTTTTGAAGTCTGGCATGGAAACAGTGAGGATGGGGATGTTGGGCTCAGTCACACTGTGCCTGCTCTGCAGGATGATGTTTATTTAGTTGCTGATCACCAGTTGCCTTGGAGAAGGAGAACCAGGGCTTGGGACACACGAGTGCCAATGCTCTTGTGCCGGATGCACCAACCACCCTCTGCAAACATGAAGTAGACAGGGCAGTGACAGCCCCAGTCATCCCACTATGAGCTGGGGCAAATTTGTCCCATCTCTCAGTCCCTGGCTGCAGAGTGCACAAAACCAGAAGCATTATGGGCACTGAGTGGTAGAGAAAATCAGGCAGGGCCCTTGCGCGAGCTGTGCATGTGGGTCAGCCCCAGGGCTTGTGCTGGAATTGCAGAGACACAATAACAGGCTGTGACCAGCGGTGCCAAGCAGTGAAAAAATACCCCTGTATAATTGTTATATCCACCCTGCCGGTCAGCCTGGAGACTTGTCATTGTCCTTCTGCGGAGGGCTGAGGCCACTTCACACAGCAAACCCTGGCCAGCCTAAAAGGAACATCTGAAGGGATCCCTGTGAACCAAGCTATGATTACTTTTATTTTCTATATTTTTTCCACGACAAGAGGAGAAAGAGACAATTAAGAGTGGGATTGTTTGTAGCCATGCGTTTTACTGTGGGAGACACCTGTCTATGGAAGAGGAGCAGGCTACAGGCTGGGGGTGCTTGTGCCCTCCTGAGGGTGAGGGGCATGGGGAAAGGGAGAGCTTGAGCACCCTCCCCTCCCCTCCCCTGGCACATCCCCCAGCAAGCCTCAGCCTGGCATACATCACCTCTGCTAAAGGCAGAACTCTGCCTCTGCTCAATAAATGTTCCCCCCAGAGTTCCTCCAGGACACCCATTGTGCGTGTCCTTGTCCCAACACAAGGGGTGCCCCCTGTTCTTCTCCCTCGCTGCTTCTTCTTGGGAGATTTGCCCCTGAGCCCACATCCCGTAAGAGAAGCTGCCTCCCCATCATGCCCCTCATTGTGCCATCCCTATGCAACAGGGTGGCGTGTGTCTGTCTTGAGCTGTGATTTCCATCTGGAATATGGACTTTTTACATGACACACGATACATGTCACGACACCTGGCTTACCTTCATCACTTCAGTGGGAGAGGGAGGAGGGGAGACAACCAACTGCTGCCCCTCTACTCTGCATGATCATTTCTTTAGCAGAACAATGAAAAAACCCTGCTCGTTTTTCACCCTGTGCATGTGTCCACTGTTAGCAAGGCAGAGCAAATGCGCACCCTCAGTATTTTGGGGAGCCCACAGCGTGGCTGCGAGAGCTGTGTGCCCCTGTGCCTGACAAGGGGAGTGATTTCTACTAAATGGAAATGGACTCATGGGCTACAGGAAAACAAAATTCAGTGCTGGCCAGGGAAGAAGCTAAACAAAGGGTTGAGGTCTGCCCTGGTGTAAGCAAGGTCTCCCTTGCACACATCACCTCCATGGAGTTCGGCTCTGTTGCATATTTTACCTGCATTCATTATAGCACCAGGGCCATTTGTTTGTGTGTAATAAAGGGGGTCTGGGTGAAAAGCATGTAATTAGCACATCCATCATACAGGTTTTTTAGATATCAATAAAACATTGATTCCCTTCTTCCATAAATTCTTGCGCTGTGGTGAATACAAATCAGTAGCTGTGATGGAAAAGGAATGCATAACCCCGTACGGAAGTGCATAAATCTCCCCTCTCCCCTGCATGTCATTAAACTGCTTAAACACTGAGGGGAAAACTCCTCTTCCAGGTGTCAAGTGCTGCTCCCCAAGCACTCCTGAAGCCTTGCTGGATTGACATTAGCAACAGCATGGTTGCAACACAGCAGCTGGCCAGCAGCTCAAAGGTTGCAGCCAGAGCTGCTCCTTCCATGGACAGAGATAATTCACCACTAAGTCTTTTTGGTTTGGGGCAGTCAGCTGAAATTTTATATGGTATATTCTTTTCTAAATTTAAATGATAAACAAGGAGAAATTTCATTTTGCTTGACCTGGAGTATTTTGCTTGGTGAGAAACAAACACAAAAAGCTTCATTTTTGTTTCATTTTACACAGCCTCCTGCTCTATCCATCATTTCCCATCCAAAAACCACAGCAGAGCCCTTACATTTGAAACAAAACCTTAGGTGTTATTCCTTTAAAACAGCAACATAAAAAGTCACTTCTTACCTTTTTTCCCCCCCCACCTAAGATAATTATGAAATTTAGCTCAGTTTTGGATGTTTCAGTTCCTCTGTAGCTGTGTAGAGAAGATAGAGCCAAGGTGTTCAGTAGGAAAGCCAGGCTGAGGTTTGGCTGCTGCAGGGCCGTCACCTCCACATGCTCCTCCACTTGCCAGCTCCCCCTTATCTCACATCTCTGCATGGCAGCAGACAGTGAGTAATGGCTCCATTTGTCACAGCCCTGTTACTGCAAGGCCACAGATGTCCCTCATTTTGCTTTCCATCTTCCACAGGCAAGGTCCTCTGCATCCCTCTGGTGCCCAGCTCCCAAATTCCTCCTCAGCTCTCTGGCTGCTGTCCCTAATGGCACCCCAGTGCCCACCGGCCTGGCATGCACCAAACATCTCACAAGCAGGAGATCTAGACTGTGGTGTTGGAAACAACTGCCTGGTAGTGATGCTGCCTTCACCTGCAGCCCAGCTTGGGGTTATCTGGGGCCACCAGCAGCATTTCACCTCCGTGAGTGCTTGGACCTGCTGTCTGTCCCAGCATAGCCCTGGGGCAATCCCCATGTCTCACAGAGGTGAGCACCAGCTGATGAGTTCAATGAGCTCTCTGTACTGGGGAGCATCCTCCATCCCTTCCCAAAACCATCTTACTGGGGGTTACTCCTCATCTTCCATTCCTCCCTGAAACCCTCCCTGAGCACTGTCCATGGGTGACAAGGTCCACTGAAGCCGGGATGCAGCTCCAGAAAAGCTGCTTCTGATCCTTTCCCTGCTCTGCTGCTGGCTCCGCTCTTCCCCAGCAAGAAGCAATTGAAGGGAGTGCCTGTAATTGCAGCTGTCAGCAGTAACAATCATGGCACTGCCGTTATAAATGGCTCCAGTCTGACTTTTACTTAAAGATTTCCCTCACGTGATGCTACAAGTCATGCAATGAAAAAACTGTGTCACAGAAAAGCAATTGCACCTTCCAGCTCTGTGGAAGGAAATTTATGGCTTGTTTTGGCCATAAAATAGAATGGGCAGGGCTCAGGTTGCAGATCAGTGTGTCCTGACCAGGCAAGCTGAGGGGGGTTTGGAAGAAAGGAACACCTGACATTGCCTCCACATCGCCCCTCTTGGTCTGAGCCTGGGTGTCAGAGCCTCTGTCCCTGCCTGCTGTTAGCAAGGGAAGGGTTTTAGTCTAATTCCTGCCAGATGTGTAAAATTGCAACAACATCTGGAGCCAGAGAGGAACTGTGGCAGACAAGTACCTCGGGCTGTAGAGGGGACCCTTGCTGAATCTGCTGGCATTGAACAAAGGCACTGAGAAATGCTGAGTGTCTCTGCTGCATACGTGTGGCTTGCAGCACTGGGGCCAATTTCTATGGCAAAGACAAAGCCAGGCTATGACCAGTTCATGGCTGCTGTCAGAGACCAGAGTGCTGTTTTCCGAGCAGCTGGCTAGGAACAGCCAGCACAAACCCCGCTAAGCCACTCCCCAGCACGGGAAAGCAGTTGCTGCGTGGCCTCTTGCTCTCTGTCCTGGTGGCACAAGTACCTTCAAGACATGTTCCTACTTGCTTTAAGTGATTCTTTCCCAGCTGGCATCTGTCCTGAGGCTGCAGGACCTGGAGCTGTGTGTTACAGCACCTAGAGACAGTTCACACTCAGCCCTGATGTGTGAGGGGGTGACCTGGAGGCGCATGATTCCTTCCAAGCCAATCAAAACCCCCTATGGAGAAACAGCCTAACCTAGTGATGTCCCAGAAGATCACCAAATGGACTTGCTGTGAACAAGGTCTGTCCCCTGCAGCACACTGGAGCATCAGCAGGTGTTGGCCACGCTAAGGATGCTCGTGATGTAGGGCTCAAGTCAGGCAGGGTCAAACCAGGTTTGGCAGGAGCAGCTGTTGTTTTCCTAATGTGGCCCTTGCAAATAGGAAGCCCATGGCATTTTGTGCACTTTGATAAGGTTCAGAGGTTGTTAAAGAAAACACAAAGCTATGGCAGGATTCCCAAAAATTCCCAGAAAGTCCAGCTAGCTTTGGAGATTTCTGCCATAGCTATCACCCCACACTTCAGTCTCGACTACACTTAGTTGTTTGTTGACATGCTGGAAAAGGGACAGGTTTAGTGCAGAGTCACAGTGACATATCCTCCAGCATGTGGTTACGCCAATGCATCATGTCACACACAGTTATCATCTACTCTTCCCAGTGGGGACCACTTGCCAAACATAAAGCATCTTCATATCAGCACCAAGGCACAACCCCAGCAATTGTCCACCTGAAGCCCATTGACTGTGGGGGTGTCACAGAAAAGGGTGACTCCTCCAGCCCTACCGACAGCCCCGAATCCATCTGGCTCTGGAGCAGAGGGAGAGAAAGAGCAGCTTGCTGTGAGCTCCTGCCTGAGCAGTGGGAGGGAGGGACCTGGTCAGCCATGAAAAGGGCACGGCTCCAATCCCAATGCCACCCCACCGCTTTATTGTTCATTTGGCACCTTGGTGCTTGCACCATCGATACACCAAGATGTGCTCATACATTGTGTTTAACTCTGTGACTCTTGTTTTCTGTCCCAGACCACATCGCTTCACACTGTTTGGCAGGGTGCTGCCCCAATTCCCTCCTTCCCTTTGCCAGGTATATCCCCCTGGACAGGCAGCATCAGTCAGGATGATGATAGGAAGGTAAGAGTGTGTTTGAGGAAAGCAAGGTCGGGGTAAACAGGACCCTTGGGACAGTTCCAAGGCCACCTGGCACTTTACCAGCCCTTCCACTGAAAAACATCCCAAAGGGGTAAGAGTCCATCCTGATCCAGGGCATGGGGGGTGATGCTACAGACATGTAGAGGTTCTGAGACGATGGAAACTGCACGCCCCCCAAGAGTGAGGCAGTCCTGGGGCCAGAGCAGGGGGCTCAGAGGCTCTTCCCAGGGCTTCCTGGAAACAGCCCAGGCGCTCTGGGGCTCGGAGGAAGCAGCTCTTGTTTCTTCTCTAATTTTAGACCTTTTCAGGGTGTTCAGTTTTCTTAACCACTGGTCAGCTGCTGTCTTCTTACACAAAGTAAGCGTGCATAAATTAAACCAGACACATATATATGCATTGGAAACAATCCAGGAGCAATCACTTACATGCCAGTGAAGGGCGTGAAACCCCCCATATGCTCCTGGTTGTAAGACAGCACAGCGAGTCCCATCCGAGCCACCACCAGAACTCTCCCCAGGACTCATCCCTCTACGGTGCTGGGGGACACTGCACCCCTCACAGTATCAGAACGTGGCTGAAAGCAAACTGGCAGAGGCATCTTGGCCTAAACTGGGCAGATGAGTTTTTCCTTATTCCCTGGACGGGTTTCCAGGAAGAACACCCCTGCAATCCCAAGCAAAGTGGAGGGGATGTGTGCAAGCAACGAGGAGCTGCTGTCTGCACACAGCCATGCATACATTGGTTGTGGGTTACCCTGGGAAAGGTCAGCCTGCTCAGGGGCACTGGGTGATGAGCAGAGAAAGCCCTCCTACCTCTGTGGGGGAGGCTTCCAGCAAACAGAAGCTGCTGCTGCTTTAGCTTTTTGCTCCATGTTTCTGCATGTCTTGCAGATGGGGTAAATTGTTGCCTGACCTTGGGATTTTCAACATCAGGCACGCTGACACTGAGCAATGTATGTGCCAAATCCTGCCCCAAAGAGTGTAGGTGAGGTGGTACATAAGCTCAGTGGGGCATGGTTACTGCCCACAGACCAACATGCCCATGAGCTGGTGGATATCGACAAGGCTGCCCCATCTCTGGGGCTGGCTATTAAAGATGTTGAGTCCTAAATCCAACTCTGTGACAGCCTCAAGTCCTGATGGATCAGATTCAGCCACAGGGTAAAGTGACCCGTATGCAGCCAAGGTGGAGGGGGGCATGTCACCTCCTGGCAGGCCTAATCCTGGCTCCCGCCAAAATGGGGATGAAAGCATCATCTTACCCCACTTAGAAGAGCTGCAGGAGGTTGTGGCTGCTGGGACAGCACTTGGAAGGGGCCAGATCAGTACCAACATCCCTGCTGCTGGAATCAGGCCCATCCAATGCATTATTATTGCCTGGAAACCACTGCTCCAGGCATCTTGCTTGGATGTGCAGGTGCCCTGACAGTTCCCAGTAGATTGGGCTGTGCTACTCCTGGTCTGACCCTGTGCACTCACTGCTTCTGCCCTGGGGACTGAGACCCCCCCATGCTCCTGATGCTCATAATCATACCCTCGTCCCCTGCCAGTACTGGGTGGGGAGGGGAATGTGTGAAAAATCAATAGCTCTAGCTCAGGCTGCCAGAGGATTTGTGCATTTTGCTCTGCTGTCTCTGGGAAATCTAATATATTGATTGCGTTTCTCAAGACTGGTATTGATGAAGCAGATAATGGAAGGGTTTGAGTCTGGCCATCAGATGCCGAGGGTGTCCAAAGCCCAGGGCTGCTGCTTTATTGATCCTGACAGGTAGGGCAGTGTGTCTTCGTGTAATTTACTGAATCCCCTCCTCATTCACATCAAGCTCGCCCCTAACCTGCTTTTGCTTCTGTATTTATTTATTCACTGCCTTCCTTTCCAAGTGGTGGCAGTGAAACCGCTGCTCCTCCCTTGGGAGTAGGAATCACTGCCCAGGCAGGGCAGGGCAGTGGAGGATGCAGAGAGCAGCCATTTCCCTGCACGATGCTCCTGCTGCCTCTGCAGAGCAGCTCTGGCTGGTGGCAGAGAGCAGCTTTGCTGTGCCAAGGTCCCAGGCTCACCTGGGCTCAGGCATTATTTCTTCTGGTTTAAAGGGGTAGGAGATGCATTAATCTTCTCAGCTTTCTCTGATGTTGACCCACCCAGTGGTCCAAGCTTAGCACATCCTGCTTTGCTTGTAGAGGGTTGTGCTGCTAAAGCATTCCTTTCCATGACAAACTGAGCCCCTACATATCCAAGCACCTTAAAAGTCAGCTGCCTGAAGAGGAGGTGGGAAGAAGGGTGTGGGAATGGTTGTCTGTGGGTGTCCTGCATTGTCTCCTGCTATGGAAAACCCTCCTCTTCGTGATTTTATGAATGCCATTAAAGAAAATTTTCCCTCTGCAAGACTCTTTTTCTAAAGTCTCTTTTGAAGACTCCCTCTCCCCAGCAATTCAGGATCTTTAAAGTATAATTATATTAAAAAAAACCAAACCACCATGCTATTTATAAATTATTCTATACACTCTCAACAAAGCAAGCGCCAGACTTCACTGGCGGATAGCCCACTCCTGACTTCTCCTTGCGCGATTTAAAAATGCAAATAACACAGCTTCTTTTATTTATTCCTAGCTACAACAGCATGGGGGGAAATCACAGTGCAAACTCTTTCCTGGAAAAGAGCGAGAGAGAAGAACGTGGCAGCCTGGTGCAAGTGAGGTATGGGGACCAGGATACAGACCTGCAGTGAAGGGACTGGGATCCAGACTTGAGATCGGAATCAGCTGGGGTTGGCATTCCTCTTCTGCTAGGATCTGTTGAGTGCATTCCCCCTGCCTGCCCTCCAGCCCAGCCATGGGCAGATTGCAGCAGAGGCAGTGGTGGCCTTTCATTTAAGGCTTCTCCTGCCCTCTCGTCCTTTCTCCCCCAGCCCCTGGATGTGCAGAGCTGGGAGTTTTGACATGTTTCAAGGGGTAAGAAAGCCCCAAGTCCCAGCAGAGCAGTGAAACACTGTCATGATGCTAAGCATGGTCCGAAAGCACGTCTGATAACGGGAGGCAGGGTTTTGTCAATCAGATATTTAAACGGAGCTGTTGCTAGAGAACATGGGAATAGTGAGTAAGAAGGAGTCCAGCCTCTGCTCTGCCTCCCCTGCTATCATCTGTCTTTGTTTAATACCAGTAAATAGCATTTATTGGTATTAAATAAATAAGTAGCTTTTATTGGTGGGTAAAAACTCTCTGAGAGACAAAGGGAAGAGGGGATCACTAGTTATTTTCAGTCTCTGATTTTGCAAGCTGTCATATCAGATGATACTCTCTTATCATGGTACATATTTCATGCAATGTATCCACCAAATAATAAAGACAATACTTATTCCTTAATCTGCTCTCCTCCTGCATGTTGCAAGTTGTCTCTGGAAGCCTGACAGCATTCAAAGCGTTGAAGCTGCAAAGACCCTCCTCTGGGCTGCTCCCGCTGAAGTCAGTGCCACTGATCGTGGCAGGAGCAGGCTCAGATCCTGAGTGATTTTATCTGGTACAAGCCTATGAAGGTAACGCATTAAAAAGCCAGTGACCTGCTAAACATAAGTCAAGCTGTGGCACAGCGGTTGGCTCACACTGAGGTCAGCATAGGGCAGGTTGCTGAGTGTGAAGTTTCAGATGAAGGACACTAAAGCTCTATTCATTAAATGGTTTTCTGCAAACATAATTAAAAGATGGTATCAGTGAGCATCACTGCTGCATGCGCCGCTGTCGTGGTTGGGTAAATCTGAGCCCGGGTAAGAGCCCTCGCAAATCAGGAGGCCCTAGGCCTGTGACAGGATCCCAATAAATCACCACAGCAAATGAACTCTGCTCCTGCAGATGTCAGTAGGAGCGATGCTCCAGCGGTTGCCTGTAGTGGTGGCGAGGAATATTGCTGTTCTGAGGGGCTGGCAACTGTGACAAGATTTGTCCTTGCGTTGGTACAAGCAAAAGCTGAAAACTATCATGTGAAGTTATGCTGGAGGTTGGGAGGCTTGAAGGAAAACCAAAATTAATCCCAACTGTAACAAATCCCCAAAGTCTGGGAATTAGGGAGGGTCAAGATTAGGGCCACTGGTGTACCTGGGGATAACAGAGGGCTGCAGCCCCACTCTGAGCATCTCCAGTTTGGTCTCTCACACTGTAACACAATGGATACCGAACCCTCCAGCCCCTGGGTTGTCTGCATTTCAGGGCTGCTGTGCCCCCACATGGGTGGGCTTAATCGTAAGAGTTGCTCTGGGTTTCCTTGCTCTCCCTTGTTCAGCCCCCGTGTGCATGGCGCCCTGTCAGTGAGCGTGACAGTGGTGAAAGGGCAAGGGCTTTTGTAATCATGTAACTTTGGGAGAATCTTTTTCCTTTCTCTTCCCCTCCTCCTTTTCCTTTGCACTGTCTTCTCTTTCTTCTTTTCCCCAGCTTTCTGTGGCCTGTCAGCCCAATTTCCCTCCTCCCTCAATTCTTATTTACCTTTCTTGCATTTTCTCCTGTTCTTCCCCTCCATCTCCATCCTTGCTCTCTCCTTGGCTGATACCTCCCCATCCCCTCACCTCCTCCCCCTGTGCTACACTTCTTCCAATCCGCATCCCCATCCCCATCCCCATCCCCATCCCCATCCCCATCCCCATCCCCATCCCCATCCCCATCCCCATCCCAGCCAACCCCAGAGAGTTCAGGATTCAAGCTGAGGCTGGCCCAGAGCTGCCGTCACTTACGGAGACTCTGGCCTGGAGATCTAGAGGGACGGAAGTGGCACGTTTGGGACCGAACCGACCCCACAAACGAACAGAAACAGCAAACCGAAGCGGGGCGCCCTCCGCTGGGGGAACCTTGGCGCCACCGCACCACCCCCCCCACTCCTGTCGGGCAGGGGCGGGGCTAATAGTCGACCCCGCCCCCCCGGACCCTCCCGCCCCGCGCGGCGGTGGGTGGTGGCGGCGGTTGCCGTGGCGATGGCGCCTTGCTGGCGGCCGGTTGGCTGCTGGGCCGGCTGACGGCTGGGAGGCGGTGGCGGGGCGGCGGGACGGGGAAGATGGCGGCGGCGGCGGAGGAGGTGGAGGCGGCGGTGGCGGGGCGGCGCTGAGGAGGCCCGAGGCGGGCTGAGGAGTGGCGGGGCGGGCGGGCGGGGGCCCATGTGTTGCGGCGGCCCCCCCCCGCCCCCCACTACCGGCGGCGGCGGCGGCCCCTTAGCAGCCAGGCGCCGCTGAGGCGGCTCCGCGGGCAAAGAGCGAGCGCGGCCCCGGCCCGGCGGCGGCAGCAGGATGAAGTTCGCCGAGCACCTCGCAGCGCACATCACCCCTGAGTGGAGGAAGCAATACATCCAGTATGAGGTAGGGCCGTGCCGCCGCTTGTGCCCGCTCCCCTGTGCCGCTCGGCGGTGTTTGGATGTCCCCCGTGCTTCCCCGGGGCACAGCGGTCGGTTCCCGGGAAGTGCCGCCCGAGTGGCATGAGTGTCCTCCAGCCGTGCGGCGGGGGTGCGAGGCAGCTCCCCTGCTCGGCGGCGGTGCCGGGCGGCCAGCAGCTTCCCGCCTGGGTATGCTCGGCTGGAGGACGGTGCAGAGAGAACGTGTTTATCCGCCCCGGGGACAGGTTCTGGCTCTTGCCGCCCCCCAGAGCTCGAGACCGTGCAAAGGAAAAGCGCTGGGTGGCCGGTTAATGAATTAATTGGTGCCGGTAACCTTTCGGTGTGGGGCGAAGGTCAGGAGGGATGTGGAGCCGGGGAGACCGCGATCGGGGGCTGCGCAGCGCACGGGTCCCGGGCGTCTCCGCGGGCCCGGCCGCAGCCCTCGGCGCAGCCCCGTTGCTGGCAGCGCCGTTTTTCAGCACCACCGCCAGTTCTCCGCGCCGGCAGGCAGGGGAGGGGTGACTTTGAGAGGCGGCTCAGCCTCCAACTGCGGCTCCAAGGGCAAGACCCAGGGGCGAGCTGGCGGGGCAGCACCCACCGCCTCTTAGCCGGAGGCCAAGCCTTCCTTTCCTGCAGGCGTTGCCCTGTGAAGGGCCACAGGCTTGTGTGGTAATGCTGACAGCTTACCTGAGTGACTCAAAACACGGCAGTAAACCTGACATCGACTGCCTTTTTGTTTTTTAAATACGGCTAGTGAGGCTTTACACCTCGTTATTTCGTACTTGCTTTCAGGTGAACCGCGCGAATCGGGACATTCATGAACGTTGTTTACACAAAGTTCTGCTGTATTAAGCATGAATTATTTGCATAATTCAGCTTTTCAGGTTTTATTATGCCAACTATGTAAAGGTCACAATGTTTCAGGTTTATCATAATGGTGCTTGACTTCAGTTTAACTAGATGAAGCTGAAGGTGGCTATTTGCAACAAAGCCATTTCCTATTTTAGCGTTAGCAGTAAAAGTGTTTGGTGCTAGTGATGTCGGTCTTTTCCACAAGTAATAAACCTAGACAACAGAAAACTGATTATAGCAGACCCATGATCAGCAAAACTTCTTGACTAATTGAGTCAGTCAAAACCATGCAACATTTGTTATCATTTGAAGGCCTGTAATTTCTCTTTAGAACTATAATAGCAGTTTATTTCTGATATCCCTATTAATCTCTCTGCATTTGCAAGGAAAATCACATATAACTTACCTTGCTTTGTTGTAATGCTGAACTTGAAAAGTTTATATCTGCTCTTTTGACTGTTCCTTTGTTCTCCTTTACCTGATTGCAAAGGAATGGATGTTTAAATTAAAACTGCAGCTGGATTTGACTTTAGAACAAAACTGCAATTTCTTTGAATTAGGTGGAGAACTAGATGACCAAATAATGCATCAGTCTTTGAGAGGAGGAAAACCATTGTCTTGATAAAGTACCAGCTTAGCTCTGCATCACGTGTCTGATGCATTAACTGTGCAATAGTTGTTTTCTGGAAATGGGAAACTTGCCTGTCTATCTAAGAGAAGGTTTGGTGGTGGGTTGGACGTGAAGGAAAGGAGGAAATAGACGGGCAAAAGATTTGGCTGCATGCTGACCAGGCAGGTGTAGAGGGAGGGTGAAGGAAACCCCAGTGAATTATAGTACCTTGGTTAATGTGTGAAGAGCTCTGCTGCTTATCGGTTACTGTTTTCATTTTAGGAGGTTAATTATCATGTGTTTTAACTAGGTCAGTATCATGATGTCATTCTCCTTTCCCCCATCCCAATACAAAATAAAGGCAGATTTCAGTAAAAACTTCCTTCAAGTTGTTACTCTTTCTAGACTTCAAGTAATCTCCTTGAATAGGTAGCTTAATGTAGAGTGAATGAAAATTTAAAACCCACCCACATTTTTAGTAATAAGTTTCAAAACTCTTTGTTTCCCTTGCTGCAGCTGGCTGAATGTGAGTCAACCTCCTGCTCATGCATATTACAGTGATGGAATTGCCTGGCATTTATTATTCAATAACTGGTGGTCGTGAGGGTGTGGTGTGTAGAAGGCTGGTGCTACCCTGGTTTACTTGTTGATTATACTTGAGGCAAAAAGCATACAGCCCTCCTTTGTCAAGAAAAAATTGGTGTTGTTGATTAGCAAGTGCAAAGGCAATAGCTGTTTGTGTGCAGTATTGCTTACAGCATGCATCACAGTAAAATTAAAAAAAAAGTATATTTAATAGCATTACAGTGTTTTTTCATCTGACAGTTTGTATCTTTTCCTTCTTAATTAAAATGATAACCAAGCACTGTTTCAGAGGGGGATCTTGCTGTGTAGGATTTTAACTCTGAGAAGATTATTCCTGTTTCCAGGGACTTCCTGTGTCAAGTTCAAGCTGCTGATAAAAAGACTAGAGGATGGCAGAGGTGGCTTTCTTTTAAATCATTCTGCATCGTAAAGCTTATATGTAGTCTTCTTATTTTGGTGTTATTTCGACTGGAGAGCAAGTAACTCAGGCAGTCAGACAGCCCCAAACTGTAGTAAGACCCAGGTAACCCCTGAGATCCTCATCAAACTGTCTTTGTTTTGATAGGATGGACTGTGGCTCCCAGTTAGACTAGGATTGGTGTGTAATGTGTTGCTGATAATGTTGTGTTTTGAATACAAAAAAACATAGTTTCATTTTCAGATGGTCTTTAACAATTTATAGTCCTCGGAGTTCTTACCATTAACATAATCTTTCCCTCCAACAATAATCTGTTTAAGTATTATAATTGTGCTAGTAAGAGGTATGGAAGTTGCCTGAGCTCAGGGCAGATACTTGGTCAGTGGAGGTGCTTTAGAGAGGGAGAAATCTACTAATTTTCTTTAAACTGGCAAAAAGGAGCCGTATTTTGGTAGCTGTGATTTAGATTCTTTGATTCTTTTATTTCAGCCAAAGCTCAGCAGTAACCATTACTGTATGCCTGCTTGTTGAGAAAGAGCACTAGGCTTGTAGAAGAGAGGAGAAATGGTGACATACGCTGTTCTATTTCATTCAGCTTTTCACAAAGGCATTTGCCATGGCTGAGTCAATGTTAAGATGGAGCTTTACACAAATTTTGATTGACTTGATTTGACTTTCCATTCCAAATTTCTATTCTAAAGATTGCGTGAAATCATGCAAATTGTATGTCACATTTACTACACAAACTCCATTCCTAACCAGTGTTTTTTGAAACCTAAGACAGTACCAGTGATCAGGAGGGTTTTATACAAGAACTAGTGGCAATAACGTAATACATGATCCCAATGTAAAGGGGTGTTTCTGCTGTTGAAGTACTGAGTATCATTATCAGAGTACTCCCTGGATGTGACTGAGTTTAAAACAATGTATTGACAAATGCTTAATTTGTGGAAGTGCTTGTTAATTATGTTAAATGCTAAATATGCCAGTGTTAAACAACTTTCGTCCTAATTTCAGTGGCCGTCATCAAAAAGCTTCCTATTTGTTAAAAGTAATGCTTCCAGTTTCTGTACTGGCTGTCTTCTCTGTGCAAAGACTGCAGTGGTTTTAAGGGTGTGTGCCCGGCCTGTGAAGTGCTGGCTGCCACACATATACCTGGACACTCTGCTTGCCCAGCTGCTGCATCTGCAGTGTGGAGTAGGTATGTTCTGACCATGCAACTGAGCAGTGATACATGGATGTGCCCTGACCTTTGCAGTGGTGGGATTTGCTTACCTTGTTTTCGGGGATCTGGCAGCGTATCTTCTTCTGTGAAGTCAATAGCCTTTTCCTGGATAAATTATTGCTGCAGCATGCGTTGCCTCTATGCACTTCTTTGTTTTAAAACCCTCAGTTTTGGACTATTCATTTGCTCTTCAGTTCCTTTGGTGTAAAGATAACATACAAAACCAAACGAATTCCCATTATTTGTGTGTCAGACAACAGAATTCTCTTTTTCACATAGTCAGTACCGAGCAAATTCCGATAATTCTCAGATGAATTTCAGTGGATGCTTTTTTTGCCTAAGAGCATGCTTCACTGCATTTAATGTGCCTTTTTTGGGGTTACTAGTTCTCTGTTTATCCACAAGCCATGCTGCAGATTTCCTTTGCTCTTGTGTCCATCTCTGGACTGCTTTTCAGAGAAAGAGGAGAGCATTG